TTGGCTGCCGCTGCCGGCTTGTCTCCCAAGCTTGTCTCCCTTCATGATTTCGCTCTTGGCTGCCGCTGCCGGCTTGTCTCCCAAGCTTGTCTTCATGATTTCGCTTTTGGCTGTCGCTGTCGCCTTGTCTCCAAGCTTGTCTCCCTTCATAACTTCGCTCTTGGCTGCCGCTGCCGCCTTGTTTCCCAAGCTTGTCTCCCTTCATGATTTCGCTCTTGGCTGCCGCTGCCAGCTTGTCTCCCAAGCTAGTCTCCCTTCCTGATTTCGCTTTTGGCTGCCGCTGCCGCCTTGTCTCTCAAGCTTGTCTCCCTTCATGATTTCGCTCTTGGCTGCCGCTGCCGGCTTGTCTCCCAAGCTTGTCTCCCTTCATGATTTCGCTTTTGGCTGCCGCTGTCGCCTTGTCTCCAAGCTTGTCTCCCTTCATGATTTCGCATGATTGTGCTTTTGGCTGCCGCTGCCACCTTGTCTCCCCAAGCTTGTCTCCCTTCATAACTTCGCTCTTGGCTGCCGCTGCCGCCTTGTTTCCCAAGCTTGTCTCCCTTCATGATTTCGCTCTTGGCTGCCGCTGCCGCCGTGTTTCCCAAGCTTGTCTCTGTTCCTGATTTCGCTCTTGGCTGCCGCTGCCGCCTTGTCATTTTCTTTCCTGCCTTTGACGCGGATGCTGTTATAAGATGATTTAGGTCTTGTTTACCTTTTCCATCCTTTCCCCGGCTTTGAGTGGGATGTCTCCCAAGCTTGTCTCCCGCTCTTGCCATGGTGTCCAACTTTTCTTGAAGTGCTATCTGGGGTCTATGCCGGTATAGTTTTTAATGCAAGGCGGCTCGCACGACGACTGTGACGACCGTTGTCACTCATGGGATGCAACTGGAGTTTGCAGGCGGACTTCAGGTTGCTGATGAACCAAGACGCGTGTGCTACAGAGAAGACAGCTGAGGCTCCAAGGGCTTCAAACGTCAACAGGTGACGGACACGGTTTCGCAACGGTTTCGCAAAAACCGAATCGCTCAAGCATTCTCAAGAATGCAAACACAACAAGAATGGATTTAGTTCTTGATTGTGCTGCACAGCATTTGCGCCCGCAACCTGAGTACTTTGAAATGAGCTAGTGCAATCACAAAGAGGAATGAACAACGCTAGGGCTTGAGGGCCTTCATCGCTGACACTGACAAGCTCGAGGCGCCCACTCTCAGACTTCCTTTGAGTGTTTTCGCTCGCCTTGGGCCGAGGCAGCTATCCGGGAGAAGCTGATCGCGTGAGTTGCAATATATATATATTAGACCTTTCTTCCTTTTCCTTTTCTCGTTGTTTCTGATAGCGATGGCCTCCCCCTAGTAGCGATGGCCTCCCCCTAGTAGCGATGGCCTCCAACCTAGTATTTATTCTCCACTAGTTAGCAGACCACTTCTAAGTGGCATGACTTCGAGAAAACAGCTTGGCTTGCGCGACTGCTTGCTTCATCCCAAGATGTCGGGCCATGCAACCATTGTTGGAAAACACGTTTATCATTTACTGTAATCTTCTTGTACACTGTCCTGGCTCAGCTCTAGGCGCAATCGAACCGCCTCTTCGTTTCACAGAAAGGAGTCACACTTCGGCCGAAGCTCAGATGCCTTGAGCATCGAAGGCCTTGGGTTGATTTCGCCAGTCGGGAGTCTTGCAAAGCAGGACACGCCTGATGATGTGGCGTGGTAGGTGGCTGCCACTTCTCAACGTCCTTCTTTCCCTGACACAGGTGCCGGCAGAGTTGTGCAGACATGGGGAGGCACTCAACAATCAGTTGGATGATGTAAGCATTCTCCTGCAGCACTTGAGGTTCGGGGGTGCAAATGCAACCAAGATTCTGAAAAGGAAGCACGGTGCGATCCTACGCAGGGATGTCAACGAAGCCAGTGGCAATACTACAGCTGAACACGTGGCTGAACAGATGGCACGCCAAATTATGGTGGAGCTAGACAACAGCACACGGGAGCTTTTCAAGTCGCCCAGGGCAGGGTCAGGGCTAGGAATCAAACGCGTGAATCAGACCATGATTGATCCTGGCCAAAGGGAGGTTGTGAGCCGAGAGCAGACTATCTTCGTGACAGCGGACTATGAAGCAAATTCTTCAAATAGAGGAATTGAGGTTCAAGTGGACATTGAACTTGCCGCGGCAAGTCAAATTCTGTAGGTTTTCGTGCTCTTGTGGGTGCCATTATTGGTGGCTTGGCTTTTCTGGTTTTACCAAGAACGGCATAAGGGAAATCAGAGCCTTTTGTACCAACCGCTGCTACAATTCAGCGTGGGCGCGTTGACCATCAGCTCAGTGATTGGAAATCAATCTTTGTCTATTTTGACGCGAGCACCTATGGCATTAACCTTTTTCCAGTCTTTGATGTCTGTGGTTGTTGGCGTAGTTCTGTGGGCATGCCAAGTTTGGAACGCTCCGGGTGCACAGCCACCCGCCGAACAGATATGGTTCGGGCTGTTGAGATGGCTGCCTTGTGCCACAGGATTTGCATGCTATCAAGTGACGGACCACTTTGTGTCGAACACGGCATCTATCTCCGAGCGTGTGATCTTCGGGAATCTGGTGCCAGTTCTGGCATGGAGCGCTGAAAGCACATTCCCCCACATCTTCAAGACAGATCGGGAGGCAAGCCTTTCAGCCAAGGCCGCCTTATTTACAACTGTATGTGGAGCAACCTTTTTCGTCATCGAAGACCCACTTTTGGCACCACTTGGAGTGGGTGCATGTTGCTTTTCAGGCATTGTGCTGGTGGCATACCGCTTGGTGCAGAGGGGAACTTTGGTGAAAACTGTAGACATCCCAGTTGCCTGCCTATTGGCATTTGACAGCCTAGTCAGTTGTACTATTGCACGTTTACTCTTTGGATCAGCGGATTCGGCAGCACTTAAAGACTGGAAACTGTGGTGTGAAACTCCACAGGTCCTGCTGCTTTTGCTTCTGTCAGGAATCGGTACAGGGTTTGGACACTTCGCCGTGATTTTGTGCCTGCAGAACTGCAGTGCCACATTGACCATGGTTGTGTGCAACATTGCATCAATGATGTGCCTGGTCCAAGGTGCGATGTTGTTCAATGAGGAGGAGTCACAGCATTTGATGTCCATCGTGGGCATGTTCGTCAACTTGACTGGTGGAATTTGGTACGCCACCAGCCAGGTGGGAGCCAGTGAACACGTTTGTGACAAGGGAGGTCACCAGGAACACCTCTCAACGGGGAAACATGGAGCAGAGGAGTCAGCCCAGTAGCCTTTAGACAGTAGCCTGCTTTAATTGATGCCAAGAAAAGGACGGTGCAACGGAGAAGAAACACATGCCTGGTTTGCATGAATGGTCCAGAAGGCCATTGCAAGCTAAAGACAAATCCGGTCCGTGTGCAGCCATTTTTGTACAAGTCAAGCTTATCCCACGCGGTGTGAAGGATGCTTGGCTTGAATGATGCTTTGCTCCACCTAAGTCACGACATGTATCATGTATCTTCAAAAGGCTTTGCAAGATTCTCGGTATCGATTACGTGAGGTTTGTTTGTTTAGCTATAGGGGTCACGAGGTCCTGACTTTCTTCCGGCAGCCAGAGGAAAGCTAATATATTTGTTCGAGAGGAGGGTCGTTATGTCATAAAGATATCGGGGCTTTTGCGGGGTGCCTGGAATGGAAGGATTGCTTTGATTTCACGAAGCTAGAAAAGGATGCGTTGAAATGAAGTCATGAGCAGCCAGTTGCACATGAACAATAAGTGGTCCTCATTTGTGGCAGGTGGTTCATGGGGCATAGTATATATATATATTCTACAGT